TGGGGGCCAGATCACAAAAGGTGTTGTTTGTCTGAGTTGGAAGCTCCCATCTTACTTTGCAGGTGAGAGGGCCCTCTTGAAGACCTCTTAGCAAGTCAAGTGATAAGAATTGAGAGCTGCCTGGCTGTCAGCAGGGCCAGGAAAATGGATTGGGGGTGGGTGGTGATGGTAGGGGTGACCCTGCTGGCAGAGAAAGAAGAGACAGATGACAAAGGTCTGAAAGAAGACACTCCGTGAATGGAGAAGAGGGGTGGGATTTCAAAGGGCCAAGGCAGTGGAAACTAGTGATTGTCTCAATGAAGTAATGAAACAAGTGTGTTGAAGCCAGGCGAGGAGTGATCAGTCTGAAGCAGAAGAGACCTGGGAGAAGAGGCCTCAGTCAAGGCAAATCGAGTGACTTTGGGGCTTGGTCCCAATATTTGGAACCAGAGTGGAGAGGAGTCTCTCACAAATGCTCTCTATATTGATGGAGTAAAATGGACCGTTTTAGTCTATTGCCTTTTAAGCATTTGTTACTTTAGGTAGGGACAAGTTCACTTACAATTTTTTTAAAAAGATTTTATTTATTGGGGCGCCTGGGTGGCTCAGTGGGTTGGGCTGCTGCCTTCGGCTCAGGTCATGATCTCAGGTCCTGGGATCGAGCCCCGTATAGTGCTCTCTGCTCGGCGGGGAGCTTGCGTCCCTTCCTCTCTCTGCCTGCCTCTCTGCCTATTGTGATCTCTCTCTGTCAAATAAATAGATAAAATCTTAAAAAAAATTATTTATTTATTTGACAGAGAGAGATCACAGGTGGGCAGAGAGGCAGGCATAGAGAGAGAGGGAGGCAGGCTCCCTGCTGAGCAGAGAGCCCAATGCGGGGCTGGATCTCAGGACCCTGTGATCATGACCTGACCTGAAGGCAGAGGCTTTGACTAGCTGAGCCACCCAGGAGCCCCTCATTTACAATTTTAAATGTTGCCATTTAAAGTTATTTTATTATTTGCATATTCCTCTCATTTTTGTGAACTACAAACATTTGTTGAAACTGTGTGCTGTAAGTTAGCTTACCATTTCCTGGATGGCTGAATTGTTTCCTTCCTTTCTCTCACTCTTTCTTTTTTTCTCTGATCTGAATAATACTGCTCTAAGCATCTTGGGAAGCAGCTTTGTCTCTAATTTGTGTCATTTCCTTAGGACAGATTCCAGTGAAGTCTAATTGCTGGATTTGAACATGTTTATGACTCAGTTGACTGCTCTCATTTCCTAAATGTTGCTCGCAGTAAGCCTGCTAGCAGCAAGGATTGAGACCACCATGTACACTGTAGTCCAACTAGCGATAGACACATTG